TTGTTATTGACTTAAAGTCTAATAATTGTTTCTATTATGTAATATTTATTTTTTTCATTTTGGTAAAAGATTCCAAATAATTGGGGATTATCTCAGAATTATTTTTATAAGCTGTTATCAGTAAAAACACGTCTAAAATCTAATTTTGTAACATAGAAAGTTCAACTTTTTTGAGAAAATATTTCAAATACATTAATGGGGCTAAATCAAGAATTGTCAATTTCGATTCAATTTGTAAATGCTTTTGAAAAAATGTTGACCCGGAAAATTAAGATGTCATATGGTCTTTTAGGATTTCCACGTCAGATTTTCGACATACATAGTTTATAAACGTTAAAAAGTAAGAGTTTTTTTTTTAATGAAAAATCTATATCCCGCAATCCACTTGATTGGTTTGAAGACATTCACAAAACCGTCAACACGGATTTACTAAGCAAATAAACTCATTCAAGTAAAATAAAATTACCAATACCTATATTTGATAACCCACTTTATATTATAATTGTGAGTGGCCCATTAGTCTGTTACAAAATCAAAAGCGTGTAACAATCAATATTGTATAATAGCTTGTTCTACCGAAAAGAACTCGATAGTGGATCGGCACATGTCGAGATGGATCTGAAAAAAGTGGAATATATAACATGTCGGTGAACCATCCCATATCGCCACATTTACGTATATTTGTGTTAAACAAAATACAGGGTCTGTGCTTATACAACCTTTCTTCCTCCCAACGTCGTCTAAGCTATTCTATATAATTTTATAAATATTCTTATTCATATATGTCGGCAGTATATAAATTAAATATTAATTACGGTTTTCTTAAATTCATATAAACATGTATTTTGACATTGGAAAGTCAACAACCAACCAATTTTATAAATACATTTTTTAAATCTTCATAATTAATTTTCAATTGAAGACACTATGAATATTGAAGATTATCTTAAAGGGAGAGCATCCCTAAACATATAAAATTGAATTGATGGATACATGCCCTTTGACCTTTTGTGTATGATTAATTATGGTAGGTTTTATTGTTTTGAACACACATAATATTTTATGCCCAAAACCCAACAAAAGTTATGAATACTAGATCAAAAATTTGAAGTACCAAAAAATTATATGTGTATTTAAATTAAAAATCTTTTGTTTTATATATTTTTAGACGGTGGTTGTTTTTTATTCAAGGAAAAATGTCTAAAAATGGAATTGATGAAACGGTAAAAGAGACTATTCGAGTTTTCAATTATCGTTATTTGTGCCAACTTTGATCAAACTGTATAAAAATGTCTAAAATATTGTTGCTTTGTATTTATTCTTTGGTCAAATCATAAAAGTACAATTTTTTGATGGACAAAATAGAAAACGAAGGTGGGGTGGTTGACGAAGACTGAAAGGGGAGGGGTTGCTACTGATGACTAAAAGAGGTTGCGGGTTGTTGACAATGACTTGTGAGTTTGGGGGAGGCGAACGTTGTAGGGGCGATGGGAAGGGGAAGGGGATGTCGTTGGGGGGTGTGGGTGGGGTGGAGGAAGGGTGTGACAATAAGGGTGGGGGCGGTGATGGTTGTGATAACAATGATGGGGGCACTGATGGTTGTGATCGGTACAAGTGGGGTTAGAGATTTAGAGTTGATACTATACAATCTTTTTATTAGTTATATCAAGTTTTAAAATTCTAGTTAATTTTCTTTTTTTTTAGTAATGCTTGAATTTAAAGTTGAACAAAACGATATAACAGTCACTTTATTATTTATGACACCATTTTGGCTACGTTTGGTACAAATAACACCGATTGAAAAACTAAACAAATTTATCGACTTTTCTTAAGTCGAGTAACCTGTTTGAAACTTCAATAATGTTCTCAGACATTTTTGTTAGATTTGAAGTAAATAACGACCACTTAAAAACTGGATAATTATTTTGAACTTTTTGATTCGATTATCTATTTAAAACATCAATAACATTTTTAAACATTTTATCTTTATTAAATAATCATGACATATTATTCATTTTGGTTGTGTTTTGATTGGTATTTTTGGTAGGAAATGTGTAACATAAATTAATAATTATCTTGATTAGTTTTTTTCCTAGAAAATGTGTAAGATAAAAGAAATAGAAAATATTTTTTTCCCGAGTCTATCTGTCAAGCCATTAAAAACACATATCTGAAAAATCTCGAATATTTTGATTTTGCACCCATTTATAGTTATGAAACACTTAACAAGACCCCTTACCCGATCTATTAGGAACCAATCGTTAGTTTTGATTGTTTACATGTTTGTGTATTGTTGTATATGACAAAAACGAACCAACAACTACTGAACAAATTCTGATCTATAATTGTTTTAAAATCATGTCCACATCTTTATTTTGTCTGCTTTTGTACGAGTATAATGTTGCATGTATTTTTTTGTCAATCATTGTCTTGTAATATGTAACTTTACTAATTTAATTAATTATATCATATAAATAACATAGATATACATATAGAGAAAGTTTCAAACGAGAACACATTCATTTTATGAGAATGCGAGAACACTTTTTTTACTATAGACAATTACATGTGATGCTATTATTTCATCACATATGATACACATGTGATACTAAATCAGAGACGCGGACGATTTTCGGTGCGATCTTGGTTGCGGGTCAAGTCTCCCTTACACCACTAAGCCCCCTCACATGTATTATCACATGTGATAAGGGTGTTGTTGATATGATACTATAATCCATTAAGACCATCACATGTGATGCTAAATCATAGACGCAGACAACCTTTGGTATGGGCTAAGTTGTAGAACACGTCGTCCGCACATAACAGAGTCCCCTCATGCGTATTATCACATGTGATAAGAGTGTTCTCGAATTTTCGTAAAATAAAGGTGTTCTCGTTTGAACCTCCACACACACACACACACACATATATATATATATATATATATATATGTCATAGCATTTTTAACAAATATAATTGATTTATTGTATCATGTGAACTACCAAAAAGTTTATCATGTCATCACATTTAATCATTCATTGTAAAAATATTTATTTCAAGAGCATGAGAAAATTTATTCTCGCTCTACATTTACATTTTTTTTTAAAATTGTTTTCAACAAATTTCATTTTTTTATCATACCAAATCATGGTACAAATTATCTTTTTTTAAAACTTATTAAATTGTGATAATCTTGAAAACTAATGCATCATGTATATTTTCATATAAAAAATTCATCTAATACTAAGATTTAAAATATTGATTAACATATATTTGTTTCACAATATGTTTGATTCACATGTATTTGTTTTACGGTGTACACCTTTTTAGCTAGTCTGTGAAACAAAATTTACATGTAAAAAAATTTCACATTATGAACTGAATACATATAAAATAAACACATTATGAAATAAATATATGTTCATCAGTACATTTAATGCTAACTTTAAATGAAAAAGTTATGTGAAACAATACTCGAAGAGGAAAAATTCAAAAAACTCTAACAAACTTTCTCATTTTGAATGTTTTAGTCACTTGGCATTTTTTAATGAAAAAACCATTAAATTTTATCATATTGAATGATTAAGTCCCTAAACTATATTTTTGGATAAAAAAACCATTAAACTTTTCATACTTTGAATGATTAAGACCCTGATTTTTTTTTAAAAAAAATAAACCATCAAATTTGTATTAGTTAGTTAATGTAACCTTTTTGAATTAAAATGATGTAGGTAACCAATTTTTAAAAATGCAGCGTTTTATTTATTAAAGAAAAAATTTCAAGTACTTAATCAATCAAAGTTTAATGGTTTTCCGTTCAAAAAAAAATTAATGGTTTTTTTATTTTAAAAAACAGTTTAAAGACTTGATCATTCAAACTAGAGATGGCCAAAAACTGGTCCCGGGCCGGTCCCAATCGGTCCTCACATTTCTCATAACCGGCCATAACCGGTCCCGGTCCCGTTCGAAAATGATATGACCGGTCAAGGTACTTCATAACCGGTTATGGGCCGCCGATCTCGGTCCCGGTCCCAACCGGTCCTTGCATTAAAAAAATAAGATATTTTTTTTGATTTTTTAATGATATATATTTTTAATACATTATAAAATTTACAATTGGGTCACTCAAATACACATTAAAAATGCGTTTTAATATAATTAAAATCACGTTTTCTTATAAAAATACATTATAAAATTATTTAAAAATACATTTATTTATAAAATTATTTGAATTTTCGGGCCGGACCGGTCCATAGTCGGTCCCATAACCGGTCCCGGTCGGTCCCGATCCCATGAAACTACCAAAAACCTCAACCGGTCCCGGTTTTCGGTCCCATAACCGGTCCTTACCGGTCCCGGGCCGGTCCTTCGTCGGTCTCGGTCCCGGTCCCGGTCCTCCGACGGTCCCGGGCCAGGCCGGGCCGATTTGACCATCTCTAATTCAAACTAAGAAAATTTAATGGTTTTATTATTAAAAAAATAGTTTAAAAACTAAACCATTTAAAATCAAAAACTTTAAAATAAAAAAGTTAATATCATTTATCAAAATATATGTTGTCAGTTGTTTACATAGAGTACACATTCTCTTCAAAAGCTTCGACTTTCTGTCAACAACAACAATTAAGAGGTGCCTGATTGGTTTGAGCTTGGCTCCAAAGATAAAAAATACTTGGAGATTTCAAGTTTAAATCTAAGGAGAAATAAAAATCCCTTTGTGGTCATAGACGTTCAAATGCGATGACTCCAGGCTATCTGTAAAACAGGTGGTTGTCCTGGAATTAGCCGGCTCGCATAACGGGTTGGATATCCAGGTTAATTTAAAAAAAAAAAAAAAAAACCCATCTCCATACCATGAACACTTGGCCAATAAGCATTCAAATTCCCATTCTTGTGCACAAGGAAGCTTGCTAACCCAAAGTTACTAACATCTTTGAACAAATCCAAGGCTCAAAAAATTGACATTTCTACAAATTATATATATATATATATATAAATCTTATGAATCACACGTTTATTACATACAAAACAGTACTTGAGAGTTGATGGAGGGATCAAAAGAACGCTACTCGTGAACTTCCTTCTGTTCAAAGTTCAAAAAATGCCGCTTGCAGCCATATATGGAGCCATGAAAACTGCTCGATAGATGCTTCAGCATGATAAACCCGTCTCAAAAAACAGTCGAAAACTCCAAATACGTAGCTTAATTCCCCAAATGGTGATTTGTTATTTGATCAAAATCATCAAGTCTGACTTTGTTGATCTAGTCAACAGTTTTTGATCGGGGAGGAAGTTCAAGAACGACGAAGAAATAACATCTTTCTGATTCTCTGATATATTGGACCTCACCATTCATAAGAGTTAGAATTTTGCGACACATACTTAGCCCTAAACCTTCTTCACTCGACCACTGGCTGCTATTAAACATGTCCTGAACCAGTTCCGGTGGAAGACCTTCACCAGGAGACATGATCCTTCACAATGCATATGAAAAACACACACATGAATTCAAGTTCAAATTACAAAAAAAAAATTAACTTTAAGCTACCTTGTCCGATTATCCTAACCGAGCATAGTACAGATCCGACTCAGCAACTCGAGCCAAATACTGGTCAAGTTCGGTGAGCCACATGAGATGAGTCACTTAATACAATTAATATTTTGTTAAAAATGTACCTTGCTTTACAGAGGGTATGATTGTAATTTTATGCACGAGTCGAAGTTAAATATGATACAAGCTTATATAAGTCTATACAAGCCAACTCCATACAAGTCGAGCCAAGGCTCGTGCTTATATGGGCCAATAGGCGCACATAAGAACCCAGCAAAGTATATACTAACTCTTAGGGAGACAAGCTCGAGTTTGATGAGCCACAAGCCGAAAATGACCATCATACTTATTAGCTTATGTCCATTATTTATATATTCTTATTAACTACAGCATCTTTTTCTGCATTTAAAAGTATAATGGTTGGTTAACGCGTCTAAGGGTTGTTTAGTTGGTTTTCCATTGATAAGCCATATGGATAGAGTTGTCTGTGTGGATTAATATGTTTGTATAGATTGGGTAAGTTTTTTCATAGATGGAAGAGATTGTTTCTAATTGGGAGGGTAGGTTTCGAAGACTTGGCTTTCCGCATAAGCTCCCCCTAGAAGATTATTGAATAAGCCACAATCTATATCATTAAGCCACTACCAAAGTCATGTATAGCTGACCGAATAAGTTGAGTCTCATGAAACGCATTAAGTTGCTAACAAGGATGCTCTAAGCCAAGTTCAAAGGTTAGAATTGCCATTTTCTTGAATCTTAATGATGCTCCATCTCCGGTCTACACATTTCTATTATAGTTTGTCTCAAATAAATGTCCCCTTCGAAAAATAAGTGTCAACTTTCCAATTTTACCCTTAATTATGAGTTGGAGAAATACATTACTAAGAGTAGAATTGTGATTTAGTTAATTACAATGCATGCCTTTTTCATTGTGGACGTTTATTTTGGGATGAAGGGAGTAGCAAGATGGTTGGCCAACGTACCTAAATGCAACATGCACGACATTCTTTCCATCTGAAGTCTGTTTGAGGCTCGGACGAAACTGAATTTCCACCCAACCACCGGGTGATGGCGAATGGCGCACCATATTCAACAAGAAGTTGGTCAAGACCTGTTGAACCCTAGCTTGATCACCGTAAACAGTCAGCGTCTTGACTTCCTCCGGTATATCACGGATCAGTTGCACACCTCGATCCCGCACCAGTAACATTACTTGGCTCACTACAACATCGATCACACTCCCTAGCAGAAATTCATGTTTCTCGAGCTCCAAAGACCTATAACGAAAAATCAAAGCAACTTAACAAGTATATTGTGCATTAAGTACACTCTCCGTCCGTCCACATGAAAAAGGGGCTTAGTTTTAAAAATGTGTTATTATTTCACTTTTTAATGAAGTAAATGACAATTTTACCCTTAATAATAGAGAGTCATGAATTTCAACATGAATAATTAAGGGTACATTTTGAAAGTCAGACATTTATATTAGGACACATTAAAATAGAAATGTAGACACTTGTTTGGGACGAGAAGGGGTAAGATTTTGCAAGAATGGTGGTTTGTTTGCATCGAAAAGCCGAGCAGGATTAGAATGAAATCTATAATACTGAAAGAAACTAAACTCACCCTTCTTCGATGTTTTCCTTATCGACGTCCTTTATGATCTTGAACATTTGTTTCTCGCAAGCAGCACAAGTCTCAAGCAATTGCTTCTGATCTTCGTTTAAATCAGATGCTTCCAAAAGAGAATTCGCAAAACGGATGCCACGCAACGGATTCTTGATCTCGTGACAAATATACGTCAACTCCTTCATCCTTGCGTAACATTTCTTTTCCTGTTGCATTTGTAGTTTCAGAACTTGTTGCAACTCCAGACTCGCGATTTGCAAGAAGCAGAAAGCTCCGATAACTTTTCCAGCCATATTCAGCCTTTTATTTGCGGTCAATAGAACTTGCACAAATTTCCCGTTTTTGTCAAAGAACGAAAAAGGGTATTTATCCGTGTCTTGGCCTCCTATTGCATTATGTAAAATGATCATAAATTTTGTCAACGAATCGGGACCCTTGAGACGACAAAAACTTCCGAAAATCTCGCCCACCAACATTTTCCCGATGATGTCTCCTCGGCTCCATCCCGTGAGCTTCTCCATGGCCGTGTTCCACTCAGAGCAACAGGTGTTCTCATCGGATGCAAAGATCGGGGGGATTAGAGCGCTCGGGCTATGAATAATGGCCTTGTAATCACCTTGAATTTGGATGAATTTGTCCATTACGACCTTTTGTCCGGTAACATCTTGACCAACGAAACAAACTCCGACTATGTTATCGGTGTAGTCCCGGCTAGAACAAGCGTTAACCACCAGAAAAACTGGAGTTTCTTCCATTGCTGAATTGAATGTCCTCAGTTTGATCTCCACATTTTTATCTTCTTCACCTGTGGATAGATTAAAACAATAGCATCAGTGTTGACTATCAAGATCCATAGTATGGATCGGGATGCAAAGTCAAAGGAAACACAAAACCAGTGAACTTAATTCGGTTTTGGATAGCTTGATTCAATCAAGTCGCTACAACAAAATCATCTTTCAAGGACGCAATAGTAGAATGTTTTATAGGTAGAGATGGCAGTGGCATTAGGGGTATCGGGGATCGCAATCCCCATCCCCGATTTCCAATCCACATCCCTGTTCCGATCCCCGTCCTCATCCCCATCAGGGAACTGAATCCCTACACGGAATCGAGGATTTTTCCCCTTCTTTCACAATTTAATTTTTTACTTAATGTTTTTATACATTATATATATAGATGTGAAATTTACCTTTAAATGACATATAATGCTAAAATACCAGTCACCAAAATTTTAATTGTTGCATTTCTATAAGAGTAACATATAAAAAAACGTAAATTTAAAGACAAATATATCAATTGCAATACTTAATAACTGAAATTTTATATAGCCACCATTATATCAACAAAAGTTTCCCACAAACAACCAAATCAAGTTTCCGAGCCTCTTGCCTCTCCTAGGAGGTCAGAGGTTCAAACCTCAATGGTGTGGAGAATGTGTGAGTTTATTTTTTGCATTTGTCGTATACAAAATATATTATATACTTCCAAAAACAACCAAATCAATAATGTAATTTCTTTTACAAGTGTTCATCATGAAGATTGATTATATTTATACATTATATATACTTATTGGGTTTCTCATTTTATTATTATACTTGGGTGCCGTTTACCAAATGCTTAACTGGGTAAGTGCTTACCAAGTCAATTTACTTTATCGGATAAATACAGCAAAGACTAAGAATCTTACTCGGTAAGAGCCAAAGCAAGAATCGAGAGTCTTACTCGGTAAGTGAGGACAAGGACTCTTACTATGGTTAGCGCTTACCGGGATAAATTGTTGCATACGATGCGTTTTAGTGAATAAAATCTTGCCTGATAAGTAAGCGATAGTGTGGAATTTTACCGTTAAGTGCTTACCGGATAAGTGTTTAGATAAACGGCCCCTTAGTGTGTATGTATGACATAGAAATCTATAATTATAACTCCATCCATGTCCCCACCCCCATCTCCATCCCCGGTTTATAAATTTGAGGATTCCCCATCCCCGTCCCCGGTCAAATTGGGGTCGGGATATCGGGTTCCGGACGGTGCAGTTTTTTTTTTGCCATCCCTATTTATAGGACTCAAGTTTATAGTCAAACAATTGCGCGAGTCATATGCCGCGAGCCATTTGTTCATATACAAAAGTGTTACAATAAGTTGATAGGACACTATTGTGCGACCTAACAAGTATTTTAAAACACTCTTGATATAAAGTGTCATGTTAGCTTTTTGTGAGGGCATTTTTGAGAAGGGTCTTCTAAACACATATTTTTATTTTCACAAAGAAAACAAATTTTCAAATAATGTCATATTTTTAACTTATTGTAATAATGACTTTACATAGGACTCACCGATTATTTGGTCCCTAAACTTAAGTTTTGTAATGCAGTATGTTGGAACATTTAGACATATTTTACTTGCTATGAATTCCGATTTGTTGCCAATGGTTGAGCTTCAAGAGAATATAGAAATACCTCTTAAGGCGCGATACAAAAGTTTGGCAACGGTTTCTTCGGCTTCCTCATAGACAAGATCTTGAACCAACGATTTCCCGACCGCTTTCTCGACCGACAAACCCGTCAATTCCGCAACCTTTGCATTCCATCCGTTTATTCGTCCGCCAACATCAACCGCAAATATCGGCGCAGTTGCCGTCTCGATCAACCGAACCATTTCTCGAGCAACCGAACTAAGTTCATCCACACCTTGCAAATCCATATCTTCACTCTGAGCTTTCACAACAGCCTTTGAATTGTTATTTTCCTCAACGTCTTTAAACGAATCTCGCAAAATAAGCTGTAAAGAATGAATCGCATCCATTTCTGCATTCTCCCATGGCAAACTCCTGCTTTTCACCACTTCTAAAAACGCATTAAACGATGATCGTGGATGCATTCTTTGCCCATCGTCTTTATCTTCTGGATGATGCTTAGCTCCACCCCATTTGATCTCTTTTGCTGTATTCGATCGAAACCAAAATAAGATATCGTTGGAAGTAATATAAGCCACCGCCATCCCGCAAACCGCATCCCCGAGTGAAGCGACTCCTGGATAACCGGCATCGGCCAAACTATCGGTGCTCAAACCGGTTGAATCTCGATGGCATGCTGATAGCCATTCCACGATATCTTTGATTTGGGATTCGGTTGGTGTGACACCTAATGGGTAGTATTTTCCTTGATTGTAAAGCGCGGCCCCATCGCATTTCACGAGATCCATGATGCTCGGAGTTTGAGTCACAATACCCGTTGGCGAATCGCGAAGAAGCATATCGCACAATAAAGTCTGTGTTCTTAAAATGTGTTTTTCGGACATTTGAGATGCTAATTGTAGTTCCATATTTAGTTGGAGCCCGAATGCTTGCATCAAGAATTCACAAGCATAACGAAGAGGGAAAGGAATGCATCGAGCGGATGTATGATGACAAACAACTAACCCCCATAGTCTCATCGAAGCTCGACCGCCTACATTTTCATCATCCAATCCATTGATGATAACCGCCATAGCTAATGAAGCGATCGAGCCCATGTTAGCCATATACTGAGCATGGCAACCGTGAGGGGCTCGAAGGGTTGAACCCACCAAGCTCAGTGGTTGCATCAAGGCGTCGTCTTGGATCACACGAACCGGGGTCGTATGACAGTCGACAATCATCCGAACACGGTTTTGCCGGAACAAAAATCTCGAAGCTTGAGGGATGTCCGTGGCCGGATAATGTAAACCAATATAAGGATCTAAATCTTCCCTTCTGCTTTCAGCCACAACTTCACCATGCTCATCTTCATGAAATTTATACACCATAACCCGATCGTAACCCGTGAGCTCCCTCACATTCTGCACCACCGTGTCACACAAAAGCTTAACATCACCGCCGGGGAGTGCCTGCAAGTTGGAAATCGCCCGAACGGCGAGCTTCTGAGACTGTACGGCGCCGGCTATTGACAACGCCGGATCTTCCATTCTTGCGGGCTCCAAATCAATAACAATACCTACATCAATCCTATGCAAAATCGCGTAAAAGGGTTTCCCCGAATTCCTCGAGTGAACCCAAACAGGGTTGAGAAGCGTGATTTCTCGAGCTCGAAAAGCCCTTTCCAGCAACGAAGAACTGGAAGGGGTGAAAAGGGTTTTGACGTCGGTTCCAATGGTTAAGATTTCGGGTTTTTCGATGCTCGGAACAGATTGTGGAGCCAAACCTAATCGTTCTCGAGCATTTTCGCTAAACGCGATGACTTTAAAAGTGGAATCATCGATTGCAATCATGCAACCAAAGGGTTGAATGTGACCTCCTCTTTGAATTCTCGACAAATAAGCAGTAATTTGTTGTTCAGGGATGGATTGGGTTGTGGTTTTGAGTGATTGCGAGTAATCAAAAGACTTACCAGAACCACCAGATTGTTCAAAAACGGCATGTAACCTTGCATCAACTGTATATTGTGCAGTGGCTTTGCTCATTGAATCCATCCTCCTGTTGCTGTTTGATGTTGATGATGGTCGACCTTTGCTAACGGGATGAAATTTTGAGCTCGTTTTACCATCAGAAGCCATTGTTCCTGAACTAAAAAAGTTCAATTTCTGGAAATCAAAACTGGGATAGAGGGTTGAAGTTGAATGTATATATCATCTATCATCCTATGATGAACATGAACATGAAAATGAACATGAACTTTACTAATGTATAAATCATAGTGGTGGTTTGGTTTTTCTCTTTTGTAGTAGTGAATGGAGTTTATGTGTCCATTTGAAATGCCTGCAGCCCCTTTTCAAGAACTGGAAGACCAATGTACAAGTTTTTATGCATGGATTACACGTCATAAAACCCATCAAGATTCTGAATTGTGGGAATTTTATTGTTTTGAAGAAAAAGAATTACTTTTTTGATTTATTGCTTTGATTGGAGCATCAGATTGTATCTGGTCTCGGAGTGTTCCAGACTCTACAACATCATCTTCTTTATCTTTTTGCCCTTTTTCTTTTTATTTTTTCTAACCAAATTAATTACTATTTAATTTACTACAAACATTTTCAATTATATCCGGTTTTAACAATATTATTTATTTTATCAAGTAAAATTTTAATCTATAAAAAAATGTGTAATTTAGGAGATTTCCTTGGGTCATACAAAACTGTAGTTATATACAGCTTTCAAAAGATTATAAAAAAAGAGAAAGAACTATGACTTTAAGTAAGAAAATGAAAGTTCAGTCTTCACGGTTTCCTTTTTTTATGTATAATTTATTAAAGAATGTTATATTTAGATTTACATAATTAATTACGTAATTGGTAAAATAGAAATCTATTAAAAATAAAAGGATTTTTTTTTTAAATCTTGAATTTTGATTTTTTTTTTTTTAATTTTAAAAAATATCACAATAGAAAGATAGTTTTTAAAATTGGTTATGATAAAAAAAGACTTAAAAGGAGGTGAGAAAAAAAGAGGGTGGGGCCCACAAAGGTCTGTGGGTGGAGGAGAGGCAGTAATTTGTTCTTTGGATCACTTTGAATCCACGTGAAGTTTGTACCGTAATTGACCCCTCTTGTTTCCGCCATCAATTTCCTAATCCAATGAAAGCCTGCCACGTATGTAGTTTAAGACCATTGAATACATGGGTCAAGCCCACGTGCTGTGGGGCATGAGGACGTAATGCATCACACGTGACATCAAAAGATGAGGCCAATGAACACATGCCATTTGCATGCGGGCCCCCGTGACTTTCTGAACGCGGTGGACCGAGGGAGTGAATCACTATTATTCACGTGGGCGTCTCCTTTTTCTTTCACTTTTGTATTTGGATTATCAACTTGCTTTGTTTTTATCCTCCGACCCGGCTTTCTTTCTTTATTCGATCCCCCTTTAATTTATGGTTTGTATAGTTTGATTTGTTATTTTTGGATTATAATAGTGTTTAAAAAACATCACATATGTTAATTTTGAATGCAATCCATTATATTTGTATAGTTAATATAATCCAATTAATTAAGATATTTATAAAAATGATGAGAATTCATTTATTATGATTTAAATATTTATGAAAGATGACTAAAGTTCATTAATTATGATCAATCCTTTAGATATGCTATAGTATCATGAAATTAAGTTGAAGAGAATTTCAATTTTTTCAGAATCGTTCTATTTTAAACTTAAAGAATTGACGTTCTTATATTAAATAGGAGAATAAATTCTTATTAAATGAAAGTGATTGTTAGAGAAATTAGTTGATGCAGAGCAGCTGCAAACACAACAGTTAAAAACTTTGTACACAGATAAAAAAACAATTTGGAAGACAATGTAGAGTTAGAAGTTCCTTAGATTCAAAAGTATACGTCAAAATCAGAAGTTATTGAACAAGGCTTGGAGACGTATGAGGATGACTCATAAGCTTTTGAGTAGGACCTAGGGGGTTTTGAATTTCACTTGCGACATATATATATCATGTCATTTGTTTATTTTGTTTTAGTTAAAAAAATAATTTTTTATTAAATTAATGTATATCTGTTTAATGTAGGAAGCATGGTTAAAGTATCAATATATTATTTTAATCCTCATACTCACTCCCTATGTTAGGTCAAATGTAAGGGGTGTTTGGTTCACATAATGGAATTTGATGGAGTTGGAATCCATCAAAGGAATTTGACTTTAAATGAACTGGAATGGAATTTGATGGAATTTGACCATACATTTGGTTGATAGGAATTGGAATAAAATTTCTCAATAGAATTGGAACAATCGTCTTTGTTTGGACAATCCCACATACCGCCCCACCCACACCCTACCAACCATTATGTCACTATTGTCGTCATCACAGCTATCACCCCGCCCCAACCCCACCTAACCGCCCCCACCACTCCCACCCACCCCACAATAGGTGGGTTGTTGGGGGTAGGCAGGGTGGGGCGAGGCATTGGGGATGGGGTCAGTGGGTGGCAGGTGAAGACTATAGTGGTAGGATGGTGGTTAGTGGTGGGTTGGAGTAGGGTGGGGGTGGGGTAGGTGGCGGGGGGGGGGATGGATGTAACGATGATGGGAGTGCGTGGGTATAATGACAACAATAGTGGCATGGTGGTTAGTGGTGAGGTGGGGGTGAGTGGCAGCTGTGATAGCGACAATAATGGTGTGGTGGTGGGGGTTAGGTTAGGGGCGTGACAGTAACAGTAGTAGCATGGTCGTAGCAGGGATGTGCAGTGAGTGACCGAGGGTGGGTGGGTGTGATGACAACAGTAATTGCATGGTGGTTAGTAGTGGGGTAGGGTGGGTGGCGGTGACAGTAGTGGTGTGGTGGTGGTAGTGGGGGGTTAGGGGTGGGGCATCACAAACAGTAGTAGCATGGTCGTTGTGGGTGTTGATAGAATTCAATTTCTTCCATTATGCTAAGGAATGATGAATTCCTTAACTTGTGGAGTTCATTGGAATTTGAAGGATTCCATCCATTTCAAGATATTAACTAAACAAAGGAATGGAATTTGGTTAAAGGAATTTATCATTCCAATTCCATCAAATTCTTTCGAAATCCGCGAACTTAACGGCCCCTGAGGAGTAAGACTGGAGATGTTCGTGATTTTAGTGTCATCGGTTTCATTTGGTGTAAGGGGTAAATATATGAGAGCTAACGGGGATCTTTACTTAGTTTTTTATGCAAGTTAAGAGGTGCGGAGCGCACACTTGTATAAGACTAGATTGATCCCGATACGACCAGGGGGGGGGGGGATGCTCCCTTGCAGGGCCCAAGGTGCAGCGCCCAAAACCAAAAAATTTCATATGGAGGCAGCTGGTTAGTTCCTAACGGACTAAAATTTAGTTTGTAACGAAGGTTTTGGATCTACCTTCTCATAACCTTCCAACTATCTTTGATCTTATCTTTATTATTTGTGGATGACTCTGAGTATAAGTACTCATTTATACTCGTTTGTTTTGTTTTTTGCTCTTGAATCTAAGGATTAGAATATTAAAAACCTACAATAATATAATATAATTTTTGTGCCTAAGAATTAGATTGTTCCTTCTTGGATTATCCCTTAATCAGAATTTTGTACAACCCAAGGCTATAGGGTCGAAATATCTGATTCGAAAAGTGATATACATGAGCTAAACAAGAATCCAAGCAAGTGTGATTTCAGAAAACCATCCTATTGTACATTTACCCCAACCAGAGATGCTCTTTAATACACTTTGCAAACAAAATTTTCGAATGATGATCCACTTTATATTTTATTCTAACTGTATACAGTTTCTTTAATCCATTCGTTATTGATCCAAAGAATTATGAACAAGCAAACAATATAATTTTTATTGATCCAGATAATTATTCTTTATGGAAAAGAGAAAAGATTTATGTAGCAGAATTCGATTAATCCGATCAATTTAGTTTGAACGTTCAATTCTATTTATTAGGGTGAAAACGGAATTATGATCTCATAACGAAGTGAAGGAACATGAAACTGTTTGTGGTTTCGAGTTACGTGAAAAGAAGCCAAAAAATGGTTCATGCAACAAACCCCTTTACAAAGCTTTAATTCTCGAACGCAAAATAACATACAACTTTCGATACACGAGTAAAGAAACATTAGTATGAATTCAAGGGATTTTACATTAATCAACAGCTATAAAAAGGGGTGAACAACATTGTTATTTATGACTTGCGAAACCTAGAAATAAAATCTCAAAGGTAAGCCCTAGTAGTCGTTTATGAATATAATAAAAGGAGAATTGTCTCCATACGAACAAACAAACAAAAGGAGGCAAATCCCACCAACATATAATCAATACAACAAATTGCATATGTGAATCACTTGGTGTAAAGAACATCTTCCCATGGGTGCCTGTATAGTGGCTGCTTCAACCTCTTCTGGTCAAATGTATGCCTGCAATTTATCCAACAATTCATTCATTCACATGTATATAACCCTTTGGTAACACTGACACACAACCTTCTTTGAAAGTATATACGAAAAATACTCATGCAGACCCCTCATCTTTTGTGAGGTTTGAACCCCCTTGACCTTTTGGAAGGTTGGAATTTGCCGGCATATACTGTTGGGCCAATGACCATTTGGTAATAGACACAACCAAACCAATGACCATGGGCATGGAATTAGCATTGAATAGGAACTTACCCGATGAGACCGATGGAACGGGCCAAGACGAAGAGGCCGTTGAGGTAACCAATTGCAACAATTTCGTCGATTTCTTGCTTTGTGAACATTCCACTACCCGCAAGAAGATCCAAGAAAAGGGTACCAATGGCACCATCGACGTTCATCACCAAATTGTTTGCCTTTGAAAGAGTGTAAGCCTCGACTTCTACGGCATATTCCATGTACTTGGTTGATGGGAAATGTGTGCGAGCAAACAGTTGTAGAAGCTCCACTCTCTTATCTCTATTATCACCTCTCTTGATCCTAACATTGTTTTTAAATGGAAGGAAGGAGAAGCAGATACATGTTTAATTTGTTTCCATGGCAAAAACTACTTTATGAAGTGGGAAAAAAAACCCGCACCTGTGGCCGATTCCCGGAACACGAATACCCTTCTTTTTCATGCTTTCAACAAACTCATATGGTGAAAGTTTCTGTTACCAACAAATGCAATAAGGTTCAGTTAAAAGTTTAGTTGGTTCCACATTTGGCCCTAAAAGCTGAATAGAAATGACAAGTGTTATTCTTAGATCTAAAGAGACTCACGCGGTCGTAAGCATCCTTGAAGTATCGAGCAGCATCATCAACGGCACCACCAAAACGTGGACCAATTGTTAGCAAACCTGATTCAAAAATACAAAATTACTCGATTGCTAACTTAACCTACCATTGAATCGTAAGTAGTTGTCATAAATTTGCTCTAGAACTTACCTGAAACAAGACTTGATACAAGATCTTTTCCTGCCCTCGCAGTTACTATTGTGTTGTGAGCACCAGAGACACATGGACCGTGGTCGGCACATAACATGACACAAATCTGAGGAATTGTTACATATGTTAAGTGAGAAAACGGCTAAAATATACAAGATTCTAATCGATCTGTTCCAGATATGTCCCATAAAAATTGTGACGTTCCGATTTATGGAAAGTTCTCAAGTTATAATTACATATTTGTCCACAAGATACCATTACCTTGTGAATGTTGTTTTTAGACATTTGACAAATAGTCTAACTCTTCCCTAAGTATTTGGAAGAACAGAACTCAGCCTTAACCAACCTCAATAAAATGTGTGCAGTAGCGGGGAAGACTACGCTTGAACCACAAAAGAGAAATAACATCACCAATGCCCATTCCTTTTTCGACAATTGTGGACATTGGTACCCCAGCATAGCATGGCTCTTCACCTGTAAATCAGATCAAAGAAATCATTCACTAACAAGTGTTTGTACATGCATTACCTCCCCAAAAACTTGTGCAACATGTACGTACCTCTGTCGTCAGAGATGGTTGAAATAATATGAGTAGGTGCTCGTACTTTTCCGCTCTTGATTGCCGAGTTAAGATCCTCAGGGATTTGTGGCGGGGTGATCTCCTTAACTTGGGTAATTTTGCCCTCCTCAGCCTAACAGAACACCGAAGAAGTTTGAGTTTCTGATGAGCAAAAAAGGGAACAAAAAGATAATATTTAGGAACCGAGGCTTACCAGTTTCGCAAACGTTTCCTTGATCGAAGCTTCAAATGCTTCATACGAAGTGGGGACGACAGCCCCGGCATCTTTGAGTGCTTGATTTTTAGCTTGTGCAGACTCCATTTCACCGCCACTTTTGGCCCCCTGATTGTTGGATGAAATGTTAAGCATGATCAAGGAAATTTGAAATATTATCCATCCACAAAGTATAGGAAAATAAAGTAATAAGCTCACCGCATGACCAAATTGAACTTCGGATTTGAAGAGGCGTGCACAAGTTCCACTGACCCAGGCACATACGGGTTTATTGATTTTTCCTGATTTGAGTGCTTCAACTAAGGAATACTCATCTCGACCACCAAGTTCTCCAAGCACAACTATCATTTTTATCTAAATTTGACCAGAAGAAAATGTCAAAGAAAAGGGGATACATATTTGAATGTTGATGGATGATAATCTACACCACAATACTAACTAAAAAGAGAACCTTAAACAGTGCAGTTTTTTATGGATGGAGAGAGTAACAGATATACCTGTGGGATGTTGTTGAACCGCAGAACGTGATCAGAAAGAGTAGAACCGGGAAAAACATCTCCTCCAATAGCAATACCTACAAAAGGCCAAGTTTAGCCCCATAAAGACAATAGGCTATTGAGACATTTGGCTATGTTTCCAAGTTTTTTGTTTCCGCTTACGCTTTAAGAAGTCCGATTACAAAAATAGCATTTGGCAACTTTTACATTTTTTAACTTTGTTTGCGAAGTTATGTATGCATTGACTATTTGAGTTAAATGAGCACACTGTTTCAAATCCAGTGATATACGGTATCTTTCTTTTTTTCACTGCTTTGTACCTCCGACACTCTATCACCCCTCCTTTCCTATTAATTGTTGCAAATCTCGCAAAAATACTAATATAACCAAATAATTTTGAAGTTCTTTGATTTAAATCATCTTAGTTTAAACAATAATAATTGAAATAAGCATGTCGCAAAATTTTCAATTTTTATGATTCTTTTTCAGATTTTACATTTTTGGAATGAATAATTTTGCTAAACTCATTTTAACATATAGTTCAGAATAACAATGATTGTGTACATTATCAGAAAATGTAAACTAAGAGCATGCATGTTACCAATGAAGCATGCATATGCACAAAACAAACGATTTGATGAACAAATATACAGAAATCTATTTTTATATATGGGTGGTACCTTCATAGATTCCATCTGTCACACGAGCGATTGTGTTGTATAACTCATTAGACATGCCACCCTGTAATTTGAAGAAAGCATAAAATTATTTCTCAAAATTACTAATAAAACATCAATCAAGACATGTAGAGTTTCTATGACTCGAGGTTAGAGATGATCAACAGCATAAGGTCAAGCATGTTTACGCACAGATTTAGAGACAAATCCGACAGATCCAGGCCTATATAGTTTGCATTGTATAATGTTATCGATCGTTCCAGCAGTGTCACCAATCTTGAAAGCTCCGGCTTGAATCCCACCAACTGTTGCTGGGCCAATAACAACCTGCAAGAACCATCGGTGGTCAACTTAGATTCAAGTTGTAGTCAAGTAGCCAAGTACTCAAGTAGTGGTGTAGATGAGACATCTAGCTCATGAGATTGTCAAAATCTTGGCAAGCTCGACCCTCTATGGCTTGGGCTTAGTAGCACTCTTAGCATATATGAGCCGGGAATTGATGAGTTGGGCTTATATCAGCCAGGTAGTGGAATTCATACTTTTCTAATTCTTGAGGAGTACTTATAAATTTGTTTGAAGTGTTTGGTTTTAATTTTATACGAGCCTATATGAGCCTGGCATTATGTTCAAGTTTATTCAAGAGCATAGCAACTTAGCCTATACAAGCTGAGGCAAGGCTCACGCTTTTCGTGAGCTTAGCCCACATATGAGTTTTTTTTAACGCTTGCAAGCCATGGGCCAATGCCGAGACTACTATTTTTTTCATAAGCTGAGCAAGCCTGGGATCATCAAGTCCTAACTGAAAGTAAAATTTTGGTCGTTTGTCTCGCTCCATTTGTAATATGTATATTGTTTATTCTAAATAAACACTATTGGATTTCGATCATGTTTCTTTGTTTCACGTTCCACAATAATAAAACATCTTTCTAATCCTCACATTCGTCATAGTGCGTAAAGACATGCCAGCTTAAACTTAGCCATCAGTTGAAATCCCTACCTTGTTATTTGACCTTGCATAGGAAATCAGCTCCTTGGTGTCGAATTCGGGAACACCCTCAGCTATAATAGCCACAACTCTGATGGTAGGCTGTTTGAGAGCAAGCTTGGATGAAGCAGCTGCACTGTATGATTTCAAAAATATCAGTAACCGTCCATTACAATAATCAGAAATAAAAGCTTAACAACTACCTATCCGCATGTATACTCGTGGGTGCTATAAAATAACTTAGAACTGACCTTCTGAATGATGCGAAGTTTATGAATACATCAGCAGTAGGATGTGCAGCACAAGCCGCTTCAATGCTGCAATATGGATGTAAGCATATAAAGGTGAGACACAAGCCCTTTTCAAGAAACCATGTGCATCAATCTTTTTAACTATGACATATAACGAATAAAATAAACAAATAAGATAACACTCCATCCCAAAATAAATGCAACAATTTCAGTTATTGGATGTCCCAACATAAATACATCTCCCTTGTTGGCAAATTTTCAAACAAAAAATATCTTTTATCATTAGAAAATACAAGAGCAATGATTTTAATCCACAAGGTTCCTGTATCTTGTCTCTATAGAGGGGAATTTTAAACATTTGACTAGTAATGAAGCACTTTCTCTAAACTTCATACCCAACCAAACTATGCACATATTTTGGGATGGAGGGAGTAGTATTTGGTATTCACAACATTCTTAAGTGAATGACTGTAAATTACCAGTTACCATCAGAAAAGAGAAGATGCAAAGGAAGAGAAGAAGCATTTATTCAACAATGTAATTGAGAAGGACGTGCATGACTTATCTACTTCTTGAGTTCAGTCTATATTAGGACACTTTTGCCCTATTTGTCCAGGAGGTGGTTATGAAACAACGAAGCTTCTTATTTAATGCCGCTCCTTATTTTTTCTTGTTTCTAGCATCATGAAAGTCGCAATAGGGTACTAGTTCCTATTTCATGACAGTAATTATTTAATTGTATGTTACGCAATGTTGCCTGAATGACCTTCTAGCGCTTATTCATCTAACCAGAGGTTAAGCAGATGCTTAAGAGGTTAGTAATATATAAAATAAAATTATTTTTACATTATGTATCATATGAGACTTAAAATTTTAATATTTTGTTAAGTTGATGCAGAAACTTTTCTAAATGATAAGTTTGATACTTCGATTGTTCTATTGATACAATTACTCAAAATTGCTTGAAACAACTTCCCTCAATGTAAAAAAGATATCAATTTGATGAAAACAAAATGAGAAATAGCAATTAATTTCACTTATCTTATTGTAATAGGAGTGATGGAGGAAAGCTTAATGCCTAGGTGATCACTGAAGTGGCTCTAAGTGAGGAATTTTACAACACTAGCTAGAGTTCCACTTTAGCCACAGGCTACATATGAATATGATGACACCTAGTTTTCGCGCAGCGTCATGAGGGACTAATTAGCCTAGCTCTTCAGCTTTTCAAAGATTGGTGATTCTTTTGTTTTTGTTTGCTGGCTTCTTAATGCTGTACAGATAACTTCAGTAATGACGATTAAATATTAAGGTTAATTAGTTTTAACCATATAACATTTCCATTTTCTGGCCCATTTATTTTACTCTTTTCTGAAACAGCAAAAGAACATATAAGTACCAATATATGGATATATAGCGAGACTATGAATCATCCAAGCTACACATCTGAGGTCCAAAAGACTAAAACACAACATCCAACAACAGAGATCAACCACAACAGAGACTGTTAAATTGAATAACAAACACTAAGACTAAACCTAATCTGCGAAATTGAAAAAATTCTTGACTTGGCTCCCATTTATATGGTTTGACAACAAAAAATATGTGATTACAGGTCCAGTTACATGGCATGAGAAAAATTAACATGAGGTCCCAGAAAATAGATAATTGAGGAAATGGTATACACATATGAAACTTAACATTGTAATTATAATGTCGAAGCATATTCATGTTTTATATTGTGTTAAAATGCGATTGACCATATTACACTAAGAAATATATAAAAATAAAACATACGTTGAATGCACTGGTATGGCAATCTCCTCTTGGCCAAAAAAGAGTTTCTGAAATCCCTCGGCACCAGGGTTAATGATTCCAGCAACTGACGGCGTTTCCCTCCCTTGAACATTGATATTTTTTTGTGAATTAGTCAAAAGCTAAACCTTTACGAAATAAAAGTAAGAAAAATTTAGAAGGTAGATGGTAATGCACACACCACAAAGGAAGTCAAAATCAAGCATCCGTTGAATTGGTAATTGCTTATAGTTATAGAACAATGCTTGTGTTGTTCGGGAGAAAATTTGTCCAGTAGCCATGGTGCTCACCCACAGGTTCCTGAATGCAACTAAAAATATAAGAAATACTTTCCATATGGAAACTGAGAAATGAAAATATATAGAAGCAAGCCATTGATGAAACACAAAAAGCTTGAAATCATATTTGATGCTACTCCAGTCCCGAAGAAGATGCATGGTATTAGAAAATTGTTAGGCTCTTTGTAAAATGTCTACGGTTCACATATTGAAAGCTTTTGGTAAATTCTGTGGACTTTGCAACGATGCCAATGAGTGATTATGTGGCTGTAATTTCAAATGTATCCCAGAAAAGAAATCTTAAATATGTTAATGAAATGCAACTTAATAGTACCGTTTTCTACAATTTGTATAACATGACAAACGGTGCTTGCCCCACTTTTATGTCTCAAATACTAAAAAATTTGCAAACAGTAATGCTAAAAGGTTGTATGAAAAGAAGATTCGAGAACACCACATAAGTCTTGATAGAAAGCTAAGCAGTTGTTGATTAGAAACAGCATTATGATAAAACAAATTTAAATCATAGTGATTCGGCAACACCCAACAAAGTTTTCAGATCCCACGCTCAGGGGCAGTGACTGAATACAAAGGTGAGGGAAAGCACTCGTGATTTGCCCCAATGATGTGATAATGGGGACAAAATGTACATCCCTTAGGTGTATGCGTGTTCGTTTAGCTAGGTCACAAGAAACACAAAGAAGATCCTAAGATTCATCGAATCAGATCATAATAAAATAACAAAATTGATAAAATTTCCAATGATCAATGCAAATGATCCCAATCTTCAGGTATGAACAATCATATAAAGCTTGAATCTAAATCATGAAAAAGAAACCCCAACTATAGCTACAGCCATAAATCGGATCTGATAATCAAAATCGAAAACCGAAAATCATGGATTGCTGTGTAAACAATTAATCAAAATCATGACATCTCGGAAATATCGAATGAATCATATCAATTGATGAAATAAAGTTGATCCAAATGAATAAAAGAAGACCAAGTCAAGAGCCAAATTTGGAACCAGAAAACACAAAGAAACACCGAAGAAAACACACACATCAACTCAATTGGAATGTTACCTGGGTAAGTAAGAACTGGTTGCAACTCGTCAAATGTGGTAGCTACGGAAGTGTGTGGAATACAAATGGGTCTGCTATAAATATATATATATATATATATATATATAGAGAGAGAGAGAGAGAGAGAGAGAGAGAGAGAGAGAAAGAGATCGGTAGTGAAGAGGGGAAGGTTGGTTGGGTTGGGTGGTTGGCACTTTGGTGAGTGAGAATGAGAGATGGCCAAAATTGACCCTCCAGCATGAATTATCCTACTTCTTGTTTGTTTTCAATATTTCTTTTATTTACAACACTACCATGTTTAATTTATACAAAAAAATATGTTTTCTGAAATAATTTTAATTTTTCTGAAATTATCTATACTATACAATAAAAATTCTAGATTAAAATATTAAAAACGTCTCTGATATCCTATATTTTCTTTTTCTTCTTTTAAATTTAGAATTTTTTTTTGTTTTTCAAAATTAAAAAAAATACTGTTTAAATGTTTATTTTATTTTTTATCTAATAAAATATTGTTTCTCTTTCTAAATATTTATTTTTAAAGTTTATAAAAATATATTAAAATAAAATAAATTACAGATTTGGTCCCTGTGGTATGTCATTTTTATGGATTTGGTCATTAGACTTTATTTATCATGGATTTGGTTCATTGGTATGCAGTTTCTGTTAAATTTGGTCCTTAGACCAAACGGCCATCCATATCCTCCGTTAAACTCGAGGGTATATTGTTATATATTTATAATTACTATTATTTCTTTCTTGTTGTAGTTTAAGAAATCCCGAAAAAAATCTTCAAACCTCGATCAAATTATATTTTATGTTTGAATTATGTTATAACGATGGAGGAAGGACGAGGTTCTGGTTGCCGGAAAAAACGAGAATAGCGTCGGAGAAATAATGATGGGTTGATGGCTGAGGGTAGGGGTGTTAAAAAAACAGTTGGACTGCATAAACCAGTCGAACCAAGTGAAATCGGATCGTTTTTGGCGGTTTGAACAATCTTACGGTCCAATCTGATCTGAAAACTAGTCAAAACCGCTCTTTTGGTCTGCGATTTGAACGTTATTTTGAACGATCTGCAGCGAATCGGCCACCAAAAAATAAATATATGTTGATTATATTTAGTTTTCATGCTATATGCTAAATTTTATAGCATAATTAAAGAAGTTTGTCCAAGACATTATGTTTTCAGTTCTCATTTCTCAATTGACCGCATCATCTAAATTAACAAAATTCCAAATTTTATTAAAAATCAAATTTGAAATTCCAAATTGTCATTCAACTTGGTCAATATTTGTCCAGACTTTCCAACTATTGTTAGTAGATTTGTTTAATCTTTTTTCAACTTGTTCAATGTTTTTTAGTTATAGACATATATGTATATTTTATAATATGGTATACTATTTTCTAAATAATGTTATATTGGTAAAATTTCATTTTGAACATAGATTTTATGTTATTTGAATTTAAAGCCCATAAAAGACCTAAACCGTCTAAATAGTCAGATTAGACCGTCTTTTTATAGTTTGATTTGACCGGTTTAGTCACTTGCTATCAAAATCACTCGATCTGAAAATTCCCTAAACTGTCATTGCAGTTTGGGAGGTTAACATCCCTACCGAGGGGATGTTATTGATTTTTAAGAATTAACAAAACAGGCCCCTGTACAATTTAAATATTTAGCCCTTCATTTTCAATGTATACGGTTTAGCCCTTAATTTAAAAAGATTAATTTTTAAAAAATGTTAAAATTTAAAAGATCAAAAAGGACCATTTCGCCCACAAGTTTAAAGGACCACATAGCTGGTTGTTTGGTCTAAGAACCAAATCCAACAGAAAGTGTATGCCATAGTCCATAGAAATCAAATCTATAATTAATTAATTCTAAGGACCAATTCCATAAAAACTACATATCACAAGGACCAAATCTGTGAGTTCTCCATTTATAAAAAAAAATTTAACTTTTTTTCTTTTTTTAGAGAAATATTTTGAAGAATATGTTAGAAAAAAACATGGTTAAAATATCCAAAATCTCTATGTCATAAAACTAATGTAAATTACATCTATATTTTTTATTTTAAAAATACTTAAATTAAAATAAATTTGCGAATTAATATAAATATGTCCATATACATATCTATGTGTAAAGACCTTTCAAGAACCTATGAAATTATGATAATTTTGAGAATTGGTGTATCATATTCTATTTCATATGATTTTTTTTCATATAATAGTAGGATTTAAAATATTGATTGACATGTATTTGTTTTAGAAATATGTTTGGTTCACATGTAAACCTTTTTAACTTGTTTGTAAAACAAAAGTTACACATAAAAGAATTCCACATTGCAAATCGAATACGTGTGAAACAAGCACACCATGAAACAAATATACATTCATCAATACATTGAAGGCTAGTCTTGGATGGAAAAAATATTCGAAACAATATCTTAAGGATAAATGTTTGCTCACGCTCATCATAATATATAGAATTCTCATTTGGTTACACTCACATATATATATATATATATATATATGGTATATTTCTTTTACAACCTTGTGTATTTGTACAACCCTTGCAACCCAATTAATTGAGATATTTATAAAAATGATGGGAGTTCATTTATTATGATTTGAATATTTATGGAATATGAATAGAGTTCATTAATTATGATTAATACTTTATATTAGGAAACAATCAAAACTTCTATGAAATCACATATTCATCAAATGATTGCAAGTAACTTTTTTTTTTTTAAAGTGATGTATCTATCAATTTCTAAAAGTTCATTAATTTATTTATAACAAAAAAAAGTTTGTGAACTTAATTATTCAAAATGAGAATATTCAATGGTTTATTTATTCAAAAAAAAGTTTAAAATTTAATCATACAAAACATAAATGTTCATTGGAATTTCTAGACCTTTCTCTTTTATAATATCATTAACTTTGCTTCTAGTTTAGACATTTATTAATTTACAAAAACATACAGTTTCATTGGTTCTGATTTAATACTTTGACGTCACATTTTATCAACAAAAAGTAAAATAAGACTTTAAAATTTAACCCGTCTTAAAGATACCATCTTTCGTCACATGGTACAAATACTTAACTAGTTTTAAAAATATATAAAGACATTTTATGTTTACGTTTATAAATGAAATTTGTAATTAATACTTTTCAAACATCAATTTTATTAATTATATGTTATGGAGCGATAGCGATGGCGATGTCGATGTCGATGGCTACGACCGAAGCTTACATAATTTGGATTAGCAGCCATCTTCTATCAACCATGTGTTGTTATTATTTTCTTTCTCCTTTTTAATTTACTTGTACGACTTTTACACATGACAAGTCAAAATTAATACTTATTGGGTAAATGTTTATGGATAAGAGTCATCACGAGTAAAATTCTCGGTCATCAATAATGGTAGAGTAAGCAACAATTTTACCAGGTAAGAGTCACCACCGTCAATTGCATTACTTACCATGTAGGATTATTGGTCATCGCCATGCATCTTATTCTTATCAGGTAAAATTCTCGATCTTGATCATGCTCACGGGGGTAAGGTAAGCGACCAAGCAACCATTTAATGGGTTAGCGTTTGGGGGATCATGAGATCAGTTCTCAACCACAAATCAAATGTTAAATTAAAAAATTAATAGTTTTTTAAAAGGCATTTAAGGTATTTTTAGAAATCTCATCTCTCCTCTCTAGCATATTAACATTCCACTGTGATATTTATGATATACAGGTTGTCATACATGATGTGATGCCTATTGTATACAATTTGTGGTACCTACTACTACCTATTGTGATTAAGATATGAGTTTCACAATAACATTGGCCCATATCTGAAACTAGGGAGGGTTGAAAACCTAATCTATACATCGTCATCATCTTCAAATTCCGAAACCATAGAAAGAAGGGAATTGGTTCGGAAACGATCCAAAACCAAACAGTCATCGTTTCCCCATCAACCGAAACCAAATCTGTACCGCCCATGACATCAATTTCTTTTTTCGGGTCTATGTCGTCAATTCAATATAAATAGTCTAGGATCGTTGTTTTCTTCATCCCCGTCCATCATGTCGACCTCCAAATTTGAAACCATCTTATACAAATGCACCTAAACATCGTGCTAGAAGAAGATAGGAGCAAAATGGCCTTACAAATATTAGTTATGAAACTATAAATTTTTCAGAGCAGAAGCGACCAATTTGGTTTTGGGAGAGCCTCATCTAGTCAAGTAAATCCCCCTTCTCGCCTACATATCACTTTCGACTTTAATTTCTAGGTTTTTTGTATTTAAGGGATATGGTATAATCAAAAGGTGGGTGAGAAAATCAAGGGGTGGATTATCAAAATCAGTATATTACTAAATTACCCATTTGTATTTATTTAATAAATAACATAATTATCTTAAATGAGTGATACCCATTAGATCTCACAAAGTATCGAGTTCTCATTTGATTAAGCCTTTGTCGTTTAGTATTTTGCAATTTATTTGGTAACTATAGTTAAATTTTATTTTATTTTATATTTACAGTAATTGTTTTATTGTCTCGAACGGAAAAAAGATTGGATCCAACCTTTGAAAAATAAGTAAGGATCAGAGTAGATCGAGATAAATAACCACATGCTATTGTTATTTATATCGACTGAGTTTTTATATGTTACTATAATAAAATGACAAATTATACATTTAGC